TGCTCAACGGCAGTTAAGTCAGGCGAGCAATCCCAAACGGCAGTTAAGTGGCGTAAGAAGAAGGGCTTAATTGCTTCGATCCCAGAGTTCAAGGGCTTAACTGCATCAATTAAAGTCTAGGGGCTTAATAGCGATTCTGGGGTTCGTTCAGGGGCTTAACATATGGTTTTGCCGAAGAAGGTGCGAAGTCATAAATTATAATTATATATAAAATGGAAAAGGACCTTAACAGATTGCATATTTAATCCTGTTTTAGTTAAAACTCGTCATACGGTTTTTAAAAAGCGCCTCTTGTTTTTTCGTGGAAAAAAATTTACTTCAATTTATAAGCAAAGAAGAGGAAAAAAAAGAATATCAAAACGATTTAATATTTTAAAATATTTAATTATAATTACGAAATATATTAAATATAATATAAATCTTAATTTTACTAAATTTATTATGTAATTATTATTATATATATCTTAATATTTTAAATGTTAAGATACTAGAATGTCTTTTTTATAAAAAAATTATTTTACAATAAAAATTATATTATATTGTATATTATACAAGTTATTTTTAAAGAAAGATAAATTCAAACTTAAGATTGAAATATACCTTTTAATTAAATATATAATTATCAAATCATGAGACTTAACTTCACCTTTAAAACCTATTTAGTTAGCCTTTGTTCCAAAAATGTATTTCCTAAGAAGTAATCCAAAAAGTGTATGTATTTCCTAAGAAGTAATCCAAAAAGTGTCGACTTAGTCTTGAAAAATGATTAAAGATAAAATTTATTAAAATAATATATAATTGATTATACTGTAACATAATCGATTATGTGGTCTTGAAATGCTTTCCAATTTAAAAAACCCAGAAGAATTCCTTTCATTGGACATAATTAATTAAAAGCACAACATAATCAATTATATTTGAAAAATCTCATGCTAGCCAATTATTCTTTGCATAAAATCGATTATATCACCACTTTGATTTTTGTGCCAAATTTTAATTTTTCTAGTTCAAACCGATATCTGAAAGACACATGACTTCTTCAAAAATAGGTTTTTGGACGAAAGCTAACTGAATAGGCTTTCAGATTTTTTTTATTTAAAAGGTTTTTTATTTTATAATTTGATATAATTTAAATTATAAAATATTATATTATAAAAAACTATAAAAACTACTAAAAAATAAATTTATAATTTTTAAAATGGAGCTTTCACTAAATTTGATAAATTTAATCAAAATTTCAAATTATTATGAGTTTTTGGTACAGTATAAAACAAAAATTATTAAATATGTAATATTTTTTCCTACGTTAGTTACACAATTAGATGCAGCTATCTAATCCATTATCTTACTCTACTTATATGGCATGCAATTTAAATTTAAGATCTTTTACTTTTAATGAAAAGAGATTACTACTGAATTATTTAAGTTATTGATAAATATGTAATATTTTTTAATAACAAAGAATTCATTTTCATCTAATAATTGATCTTATAGAAACAAAAACCATTAGATATGTGTCATCCTTCAATATCAAAATTTTTTTTTCCATCTAATAGTTCATCTACTTCTTCGGAATGTATTCTTATCTAATAATTTATCTAATAGTTAGAATTATGGAGTCTAAAACATATGACCTTTTTTGTTTTCATAATTATTTTATTTGAAATCCTAATTCAGTACATAGAATTCTGTTCAACACCCCCCAACGGAGTTTAAGTTCTTAGATGCTGCCATGCTGGATGCTGCTTATACGCGTTGCCGTGTGAGCTGGAGGCCACACCTTTTTTTTATTATTTATCTTTAAAATATTAATTTTTTAATATAACTGTTAAAAACTTTTAATTATAATTATTAATTATAAAATAATTAATTTTTTAATTAATAAACTAAAATTAATCAACAAGTTAAAATATCCAAATCCCTTAACCAATTATTTAATGAAAAAGAAGATCCATTCATATGTTTTTAACATTTTCTTGTGTGGCTATAACCATGAGAGTGTGTCTTTCTTCTTTATTTATAGGAATATTTTATCAACCTTCACTACTTATCCTCAAGGCAATGACTTGCTGCAACAATATTAATGGAATGGAATATGTGTGGCCAGCCTTCCAAGTTCCCTTCTAGTAAAATTGCCCACTCAGAAAGGTTAAAAAGTCACAAACCGTGAGTGCAACATGGGGGCGTCTACAGATGCAAACACAATTTACAGTCAACCCTGCCATCCCTTTCTCTCTCCTAGGAAATTGAATAGGTGAAGGTAATTACCACTCAATAATGCAGAAAACTGAATTGTCAAAATCAGAGGAAATGACATGGTGCCTCACACCATCCTCATCCATCCAATCTCTAGGTGCAGACATCCAATCTCTAGGTGCAGACTTTGACCTGAAAACCCTAACCCATAACAATTCGGCGCATGAATTCCAAAACATTATTAGAGCCCTAGCCCCACCAGTTAAGCCTTCACCAAGCAGGCAAGCAACACATATCAAAAAGCACACAGTTAAGAGGATAAAAACCATGCCTAATAGGAACACGGAACTGAGAGGTGACATCTGCCGTTTCAACCCATTTTATGTATGGTGGCTGTGGTATTATCAATTATGAACATAAGAATCACTGGTTTCATTTCACATGCTCGCAGCCAACATATGATGTCAATTTGTTTATATTCCTTTGTAACACCACTCCGACCAAGAATACAAACTCCGTAGAAAAAATGAATGCTTTTATTGTGGGGCAGAACAGAATTAGATGTGGAATAAATGTAGGGGGTTATTGTGGCTCCATGTATACCTACCAATTTTAGGACGGTGAGGTTGAATTGTCCAAGGTTCAAACATTCAATCACTAAAACCTCCTTGGCTTCCCATATGTACCAAAAGGATGCTGCATGACTAACTATATCAATATGTGGATTGAATGAACCAGGCCTTCAAACCTAATGGTTCCTCCCCAAGCCTTAGTACTTGGGTTTAGTTGGTTGGGAGTTTGACTCCCACCCACTACTTGAAGAATTCCCCCTTCCCCCATAATTCCCCATGTTCAAAAAAAAAAAAAAAATGTGGGTTGAATTGCTCAAGGTTCCAACATTCAATCACTCACCTCCTTGGCTTCCTATATGTACCAAAAGGATATTGTATGACTAACTATATCAATATGTGAATAGAGTTATATAGGTAATCAAACATTCAATCGTTCCTCCTTAGCCTCCTATATGTAGCAAAAGCATATCTTATGACTAACTATATCATATGTGAATAGTAAGGAGTTATATAGATAATTACCTTGCTTCTGGCCTTCTGGATGCCTTCAATAATTACTGCCGTTTGCATCTCTCAGTTCTGTACAGACATCTAACATTGATGTCTGTGAAAAGCACAAGCTGTTAATGCTGCTTCACAATCTACAAAACAATTTAGTGAAGTCGTTTTCAATGCTTGGATACGTGTAAATTGTAAAGGGTACCTATACAAAGTTAACAGCAAAATCTTCTAACCTTAACAATCTTAATCCCAACAAAAAGAAGTACCAAAATACAAAACCAGAACTTTTGGAACACATTTCATCTGACTTAAGTGAAAAAACACCATTGAAAAATAAAAGGGGAAACAAAAAAAAGGATTATGTATAATTTGTGCTCAATAAATGCACTGGTAATGTACAGTTGGACAAAGAAGGGCACATTAGATTGTTTGTCACCGAGGTCCAGAAAGCTCCATTGCTTCAATGATGAAGGAGGACTCTTCGTGAACATCACTGTAATTCCTAGAGAAGCTGCTGACCCTCATCTCAATAAGGTTACTCTCACCTTGTGATTCCTCCATGCCTGACTGCACAAGACCTTCCAGGACCTTCAAGACTTCTGACATTCTTGGTCGGAGGTTAGGATGTGATTGAGTACACTGCAAAACCAATTCTACTGTTTTTTTCAACTCTAAGGCATCAAAACATCCCTTCAAATCCCTATCAACCAACACTTCCAGCCTCTTCTCCTCATACAAAGTCTTGACCTGCATCAATCATATAACATCTATTAATTGAATTTGGAATGAGGAAATTCAAAGACAAACAAGGAAAATAACTTGATTACATTCCACTGAATTACATTAGCCAAGCTGATGAGAGAACAAAATGTTATCAAAACTCGAGGAAATATCTAATGTTGGCTGTTATCACAGCCCACCATCATTTTTGGCTAGGATGATCTTCAAACACTAACAATATACTCACGTACAGTTCTACATTAGTAGATAACAAAGAATATGAACAGGCAACCATAAACATGCATCAATACAAGGGCATAGATATCTATCAAGAATTACTAACCCAGTTGAGAATCATTCCCTTTTGGACCTGACCATTACCAGCATCTAATGCCTTTAGTCCTGTGATAAGTTCCAAGAGTAGTATCCCAAATCCAAAGACATCAGTCTTTTCTGAGGACTGCCCAGTTGAAAGATACTCTGGGGCAATATGCCCTATGGTGCCCCGTACAGCAGTGGTGACATGTGAATCCCTACAGTCTAAGAGCTTAGCAAGACCAAAATCCCCAACAACAGCTTCAAAACTTTCATTGAGTAAAATGTTGGCAGCTTTGACATCCCTGTGAATTATTTTTGGATTACACTGCTCATGCAAATATAGAAGTCCACGGGCAGCCCCAAGGGCTATAAGCATTCTTCTATTCCAACACAGAGATGGCTTTTCTCTACAGGTGTCTGGTAAAGAAAATCAAATCAATTCGGCAAGATGAATAAAACAATTATGATTTATTAAGCCCCTAGAATTTCAAATTTGAGACGCATAACTAAAAAGATACAAGATTGCCATATAGAAAATAGAAATGGCAGCAATTTTCTCACAAATTGAAATACAAATGAAAATTTCAACTTATTTAGCAAGTGAAATATTCAGTGATATTAGTGTCTTTAACAAATTCTCATTAATCCAAAACTGCTTCAACCACACAGAACACATGACCACAGAAAAGAAATAAACCTCTTAAGCGATCTGCAACACTTCCATTTGGCATGTAAGGATAAACAAGCAATCTCTCATCAGGTGTCATGCAGAAGCCATACAGGCGTAAAAGGTTTCGGTGAAGTGCCAAGCCAATCATCTCCACTTCAGTTTGAAATTGAACTTCTCCTGTGAAATTTGGATCTTTTAGCCTCTTAACTGCCACAACTGTCCTATTTGGCAGACACCCTTTATAAACAACTCCAAATCCTCCTTGCCCTAGAATGTTTTTAGGACTAAAGTTGCCAGTAGCAATTTGCAATTCACGGAATGGGAACCTCTTTACATGACCAATTTCCAATTCATAATCCTGCTCTGCTGCAAATTCAAAAATTTCAAATTCTCATGACATAAACCATAAAGCATGTAGAAGTCTAAAGAAAAAAAAAAAAAAAACATTAGCAAGGATATACCATATGATGTAAGCAGAAGCCGAGACCTGTACCAATGCACCCAACAAACAAGTAGCATCACAGAAACCACGAAGGTGCAACTGATGCCCATGGCAACAGAAAGCACCAATCTATGACTCTGAAGTCCGGTGACTCTGGCAGATGAATCAGATTCTGCAATTAAATAATTGTGCATGTGCATTTAGATAACTGAAGAGCATAACAACAGAACACTTTGGTACAAGTTATGCTTATTACCGATTACTGGTCTTGGGACACCTGAGCAAATTTTTCCAGATGGAGTGCAAAGAAAGCTGTTCCCTGTAATACTACAAAGACCAATTTGGAGCTTCAAATGAATGAAAACAATAAACATTACCTATACATAATATTGAAAATTAAAGATGTCATGGAAATAGTCCACATCAATGAAACAATCAGATCACAAAACTTGATTACATTGCAAGTTTGTAATCAACCATAACATATGCCTAAAAGCACAAAAGTTTCCTAGAATTTTAATGAAATTGTGTGGAGCATATATAATGAAAAGAATTAGCAAAGCGTATATGTGATTCAATGTCATCAGGAAACCATACATGTTATGACCATAATTAATACTCATCAACTTGTCTACAATCAATACCTAAGATGGGAAAGGAAATAGACCAAATGCTAGCAATCTCTTGCACCAGAAAAAAACTTACCTATAGTCTTTCGCTAGTATTTTGGGAGTAGGGCCACTGAGATTATTAAACGATAAATCCCTGCATGGTATGACTACAATTAATGCTTATCAAGTCGCACCAAAAAAAAAAAAAAAAAAAGCACACACACACACACACAGTTGCCATGTGATAGACATACAAGAATGATAGCCCAGTGAGACTTGCAACAGGCGTTGGAATATGTCCTGATAAGTTATTTTTACTAAGCCGCCTGAAAAACTTGGCATTGAAAAGGTTTAGAATGTAAATGATCAGAACAAATGTAAAATCAATTGGTAGATCAATGTGCATTAAGAAATGTCAAGCCCTACTCACAGGTAACTTAGGTGAGTTAGAGACCCCAAAGAACTTGGAATTCCCCCAACAAATTGATTATCTGAAAGGTCAAGAGTTTGAAGCTCTGAGAGGTTCCCCATCTCATTCGGGATGGGACCTGATAAATGATTCCTCTGCAACAACCTATAGGAATAGAAAATAGAAAGCATCCATCGGTAAAGGGGAAAGGAAGATTCAAATGAATGGTCATTTCTGGTTACAATTCCGAGAAGCAGTAGACTGAGAAGACTAATAGCTAACTGTACTTTCTATAAGTTCAGGAAAATCATATTACTTTTGAGAAAGACATGCTATTTGTGCAGAAGCCCCTTTGATATCCCCTCTCGTGTCAGAGTATTTATTTGTTATCTCCTCTAAGTAATAAGTTGTGAGATATTAAATCATTTTCTTCTTTTGGAGAGAAACAGGTTGTAATTTTCCAAACTTAATTCCATCAATGTTCAACTACCCAACATCAATAATTCTTCAACTACCCCAACTAACTAAACATCAAAACTTCTTGGACCAAAAAAATAAAAAAAATCAAAAATCAAAACTTCAGTTGGATTCTTAAACTTAAGACACTCAATAGCTAAAATGATTAACATTTTGCAATTGACTGAAGTAGAGATAACAAAGAGTGGCTCACATTGTCCTCAGGTGACTCAAATTCCCAATGCTCGGTGAAAGGGTCCCTGATAAACCCATGCTGTCCATTACACTATCAAAAACATTCAGACAACCAAACTCAACTTCTTTGTCAAATTTTAGAAAAACAAGGAGAAATACTTAAATAAACAAAATTATACGAAATGGGCAACTGGAAACCCAGAAGTTTGATGAAGCCCTTCCGAAAGTAGCTGAAAGGAAATGAACAGTGCAGCAAATGGGCTTATTTTCCTCTAAACTATTTTCTAGCTTAAGGTAAGTGGGACTTACAGTGAGATGACAAACCCTTCATCAGAGCAAGCGATCATGTTCCAAGTACAAGGGTCAACCGAGTTTATATCCCACCCATCCATCACCCCGTTCTGATCTCTCATCTCTCTCTTCACCGCCATCAACGCAGCCACTGTCTCATATACCCACAAAAAGTTAATACCAAAACCTTAAACTCCATAATCCAACAATCACACTCAAATTGGACAAAACCCACCTTCATAGTTTACACCCTTCGGAGAAAGAAGACTGATTGCTCCAAAACCAAAAGGGATCCAAGAAATCAAGCTCAAAAGTAGGAACACGACCCACATTACACGTTCCATTGAAAGGATGACCAAACAAAAGCAGCAGCAGCAAAAGGTTAAAGGAAGCTCTTTCTGCAGGCCAGTGAGCTGCTTTTTGACTCTTACAACCCAAACTAAATAATCCACTGACAGAATGGAAAAGAGGGATTGGGTTGAAACTAAAGTTGGGAACTTTACTGTAGAAATTTATTTGGATTCACCTCATCTGTCATGGGAAGAGTGCATCTTTGAGGTTAAAATAAAGGGGGAAAGGGGAATTAAAGAAATGGGAAAATATTATGATGCTGGGGATAGGGTGGGGACGACGAAATTTGCGATGGTTGACGGA